TTTTTTAATTTTTACTTTTTTATATGTTCATTTTACCGGGGGACGCCAAAGGGGAGGGGGGAGGGGTGATGTTAACCGAAAAATTAACTTCAAACGGCCTTATCACTTCATTGGCAAGTCAGTCAATTTATAAATATTGAGTTGTCAAAGCAAATAAGAGACTTACATCATTTTATTCCAATTTGTTTGAGGTGAAAATTTGCAGTTTTTTTTTTACCAAAGCTAGTGGTATCTTCTCAATTCTTCTAATTTCGAAATATTATTATAAAGGGTTGAGCTGTTATATAGCTAAGAAACAGAACTATGTGAGACAAATTCGGTGTTGTTTGTTTTACTAGCGCTAGAATGGCTGTTTCCGATAAATATAGTATGTAACACTAATATGATACCTTAAATTTTGAGCACAAACTATGTAATTCGGTTAAACTCTCATATCAGATCAGATATAAACATGAAACTGATTCAAAACTAGGGTTCTACAGTGCCAGGTATAGTACTATTTAAACATAATGTTAGCTGCTTTTGATATTTTATATGAAATCTATCAAAATAACTTTTACATCGCTTCGCTTAATAATAGTGTTAATGTTCTTTGACATTAGTATGTATAGTTTATCTAATAATAACCCTTTATTGTGAATATACATAACAATCAGTGATTATTCTTACTGTGCGGACTATGCGCAGCACACAGAATCAAAATTTTGCGTAATCTTTGTGTGGCATACATATATAAATAGTACGTATGCATGGTTACAGCAGAAATTGCGTACAGTTCTTTATTTATCGCATAGAATAAAGTTATAAATTGTGCGATATTCGCACAATAAATTTTAATTGAAAAATTAATACTAATGGGTTTACCAAGTATACATTATCACGTTTTTCAGTAATTGGTCAACTGCATGCATACTACACAAGCGCATCTATAAAATGACATAAGTCAATATTTAATGGGGTATGAGGTCTACTACTGTGATAATAGATAGGCCAATTTCAGTGTTGTCAATGGACATGGACGTGGACTATCCATGGACATTGGACATTGTTTACTGTCCATGGACTGTCCATGTCCAATAATTTACTTGGACATATGTCCATGTACAACACTGAGGCCAATAGATTCACAAACTCATTCAATTTAATTATTTGTTAAACAATTACAAAATATTTGTATACTAAATAAAAAAGGTATTGTAAAACAGTAGGCCAATATTATTTGTTTTTGAATACGCATTCTGCCATCTAAAGCTTACATACATATATTGTTTTTTTTTTAAATAAAAAAAAAAAACTACATTTATTGTAAATAAAAAAAAAAAACATATATATACACATTAAAGAAGTTATTGTTACAAAAGTAACGAACCAAACATAAGAATGGTCAGGGAAGAAAGCGCCTCTAAAGTATTTGAATACTTTATTAATACATTTCTAATTCTCTGTTCTCGAGGTATCATATCAAACGAGTTAATTAAAAATCAAGAAGAATTTAATGCATTAAAGAATCATATATTAAGGATTAGAATTTCGAATTATCAAGCAGCCTTAGAAAATGCATTTAATGATCAATTTCCTTATGATAATAAAAAAGATTTCATTCGGTTACATGATGATATTAACAAATTTCATAATAAAGTCATTATATTTGTTACTGATTTGAAAAATGATGCTTATATGCATTCAAATAGAATTTCAGAATTGTTACAACATTATAAGTGCAAAACAGAAATATCAAGTCAACGACCCACACAGCTTATCAAAGAAGTTTTGAAGCGATTAGTAATTGATATAATTATCGATATGGTTAATACATATTTTGAATTTAATGAAGCAGATAATTTTTATCCTGGAAAGAATGTAATAGGTTTATTATTAAAAAAGTTGTGTTTATTAACTGTTAAAAGGTCTGACAATATAATGAAAGAAATTCCAGTAAAAGAACGTCAACAAATTTACTTATTTCTTAAAAACTTGGTGTTTGGTGAAGATGAAAATCACGAGCATTCGTTTATACATAATAGCAAAAAACAACTTATTAATACGATAGATCAATACCGTACCATAATTAAATATTCCAAGAGAAAAGAAATTGAAGATTATGCTTCATCTCTTATTCGTGATGTTATTGATATATTTTATTTTCGAAGATATACATTTGAACAAATTATAGATTATATGTGGATTAAAAATAACAAGCCAATAGATCCTCTATCTATTAATAAAGTTTGGGATGACGATGCTGATATTGATAATTTAGTAGTTCAATTTTGTTCATTTCCACTTTTTGGAGTAGAACTAAAAAATCTAGACAAAAGACACACATGGATTCGAGCACATGTTATTACCAAAGAGGAAGAAGAATTCATTCCAGATACAATAAGAAAACGTGCACATCTGAATATGTTGTTGGAAAAACTTGAAAGATCTCTTGTAGGCCTAAATATGCTGCTTAAAACCGATCCAAATGATGTATTTGCATTAAGATTACGTGGCGAAGTTTATTATAAAATGGGAAAGTATAATGAATCACTTGTAGATTTAACTAAATTATTAAAAATTGAACCAAATAATGCATTGGCACTAAGCATACGTGGAGCAACTTATCGTAAAATGAAAAGATATGAAAATGCCCTAAAAGATTTAAATAAATCTATAGCGATTGAACCAAATAATGCTTTTACATTAAGTACCCGTGGTTCTGTTTATCGAATAAAGAAAAAATATGTTGAATCACTTTTAGATTTAGACAATTCATTAAATATTGAGCCAAATGATGCATTTGCATTAAGGAATCGTGGTGAAATTTATAGAATGATGAAAAAATACGATGATGCGCTAGAAGATTTAAATAAATCACTAGAAATTAATCCTGACAACGCATATGCATTAAGTAATCGTGGTGAAGTTTATCGAATTATGAAAAGATATGATGATGCACTTTTAGATTTAAATTGTTCATTAATGATTCAACCAAACAATGTTCTTGCATTAAGTAACCGTGGTGAAATTTATAAATTAATGAAAAGATATGATGATGCACTTTTGGATTTAAATAAATCATTGAAAATTAAACCAAATAATGCATACTTATTAAGTAATCGTGGTGAGCTCTATCAATTTATGAAAAGATATAATGAATCTTTAGTGGATTTCAATAAATCATTAGAGGTTGAACCAAATGATACGTTTACATTAGTTAATCGTGGAGAAACTTATCTAATGATGAACAAATATGAAAATGCTCTTTCAGATTTAAATAAATCACTAGTTATTAAACAAGATGATGCATTTGCACTAAGAATTCGTGGTAAAACTTATCGAATGATGAACAAATACGATGATGCGCTCATAGATTTATCAAAATCTTTGGAATTCGAACCAGGTAATGCATTAGCATTAAATATTCGTGGTGAAATTTATCGAATAATTGGTGATTATAAAAAAGCTCTTGTAGATTTTAATAAATCATTAGCTATTGAACCGAACGATGCATTTGCATTAAGTAACCGAGGAGTAGTCTTTCGAATTATGGAGAAGTATGATGAAGCACTTTTAGATTTAGACAAATCATTAGAAGTTAATCCAAATAATGCAGTTACATTGAGCAATCGTGGTGCAACTTATCGAATGATGGAAAAATATTCATTCTCACTTATGGATTTGATCAATTCGATAAAACTTGAACCAAATAATACATTTGCATTAATTAATCGTAGTGTAACTTTTCGAATGATAAAAAAATACGATGAAGCACTTGCAGATTTAAATAGATTAGCAGAAATTGAACCAAAGAATACATTCATATTAAGTAGTCGTGGAGAAATTTATCGATTGATGAATAGATTTGAAGAGGCACTTGCAGATTTAAATGAATCATTAAAAATTGAACAAAGAAGTGCATTTTCATTAAGTAATCGTGGTGTGACCTACTTACTTATGAACAGATATGAAGATGCGCTTATTGATTTAAACAATTCATTAGAAATTGAACCAAATAATGTGTTTTCATTAAATAATCGTGGAGTAACTCTTCGTATGTTATACAAATATGATCGATCACTTTTTGACTTCAATAAATCACTAGAACTTGATCCAGACAATGTGTTTACATTAAGGCAACGTGGAATAACTCTTTATATGTTGACAATGTATAGAAGTGCTCTATCTGATTTATCCAAAACACTAGAAATTAAAACCAATGCGTTCGTTTTAAATGATCGTGAGGAATGGTAAGCATTTTTAACAAAGTTAGGGCTGGTGTTAGAGTGAAGATTATAAGAATTCATCTAAGAATCCCAACCTTTGTTATTATTGATAAATAAGTAACAAATAAAAAAAAAAAAAACTACACTGATTTGCTTATATTAAATTCTATCCTAATATTTTGATACACAAATTAATTATATTTCGATTATGCTGTAATATTGACTAATGTCGTAATTATTTGTTATGTGAACTCTCGATATAAAGACTGAAAAATGATGTTAGTCTCAAAACTGGCCTGTTTAAATACTTCAAAATAGTGACTTATTAATAAATCTTCGATAAAATAAATTTTTTAAATTAAATATTAGTATAATGAATCACTTCGCTAAAATGAGAATAACTTATAAATTGGCTTGTTATTATAGAATATACCAGTGCTGGCATTTGGGTTATGTACAATAAAAATTTTATTTGGACTTGGACAAATATGGGCATGGATTAATCCAAATAGTATCATGTCCATATCTTCTTTGCCAAATATTTTGGACATTTATCCTAATTTTGGCCTCGACCTTTCTTATTCAATCCGGAAAACTTTGGAATAGCAAGCTTACATGATTGATTTGGACTAAATGCCTTATGTCCAATAGAAAATATAGACAATATGGACATAGTCCATAAATGTCCATGTTCAATGGCTATATTGTCCATTTCCATATTTTGCTAACACTGGCTATATAATATAGGTTAGCTATTTTAGAAGCCCATCTAATTCATCAAATTTACTATCTAACAATTTTCGGAGCTTTCCTGCTTAATATACTCCATAACCATCACGTAACATCTTTTGGGTTCTTAGTTATTCCATAAATCGCAATTGCTGAATCGTCCCCATGTTTGTGTTGATTTCAACCTAAAATATTAATTAGATTGCTACACTTTAATAATTTGAGATTCGTATGTACTTCAAAAAATTTGCGTTTTATATCTTTAGAATTATCAAAATTTTTAAACAAACATATATTTGCGGCTTTCTCTCCAACTCATTCTTCTGCAGATCAAATTCCGTAATATATCCTTACTGACTTAAAAACAGTACAAAGCCTCCTTTAGCAAGATACTTTATATTTGCGAATTTGCTAAAGGGTATCCATTCAATAATGTCTTTAAAAAAACTTTGCATTAAGTTGTGCTTGTTGATCAATACTTGTCCAACTATTTCAAATCTTAATAGAATGCTGAAAACAATAAATATAATAAATATAATTAATAAATAATTTATACCGTCTACGTATCATAGGACAATTATTTATTGTATTAGAATTATCATATTTGAGTAGCGGATTGCTATAAAAAATTCACGGTTTCTGTACTTACCGACCATTGTGCTGCATAAATGATTTAGATATGGTTATGTTAGTTTTGTAATGGACTTATAGTGATTTGTATAGTGGTTTGCTGTAAAAAGTTCGATTACTGTACTTACCGACTATTGTGGTTGTGTAAGTGTTTTAGATAGGGTTATACTATCTTTGTAATGGATTTATCGTGATTTGTATAGTGATTTGCCGTAAAAATTTCGATTACTGCACTTACGTTACATAAGTAGCGATCAAATTATCTTCTAACCTTTTTAAGCTACTGAATTTACAAATGTATATTGTATTTACAATCCCTTAACATAAGCTTTCTTTGTCAATATGTCTTTTGGTTTAATTTCTAATAATTTCTTCAAGTCAGCAATTGATTCAGAGTACCTTTTCATTCTATAATTAATTTCTCCTCGATATATTACTGAAATGCTATTGTATTAGCTAGTCCAATATCTAGCAATCTAGTTAAATCTTCAAATGCTTTATCACATTTACCCATAATAATATATGAGTGCCATCCAGTGTTTCGGCCTAAACCTCCCACCAAAGTCCGAAACGTTTCGGCCCTGGAGTTTCGGTTTCGCCCAAAATCCGAAACCTCTGAAATACCGAAAACCTTCCAAACCCTCAAGCTTTCGGACCTTTTCTCTATTTTGCTCTCCACCTTGCTCGTATTTTGATTTTTTTTTACTAATGTCTTCATTTTTTTTTACGTTTTTTTTTTTTTTTGAAACCCTTTGAACCCTTTAATAGTGTCGCACTGCTTGAATGTCAAGTTTGTGGCGCAGATTTCCTTAGCACAAAAATGCCGGGCAGATCCTCGGTTTTGATTGGCTAACGGCCGAGGATCTTCAAAATTTTGGCCCGCATTACATAATTGTTTACTAATTTCCGGCCGGAATTGACTTTTTGATTTTTTTCATTATAAAAATAGAAATTTTTAAAAAGAAATATAATCAAAATGACCCATGGTGCTCATCACCATCCCTAGATATATTTAGGGTTAGGTGCAGCTTTAAGACATATTGATTAGATACAAGGTCCCAATTTCAGTTCTCTGTTTACTTAGTACGTTTTCGAGATTTAAGCACCCTGGTGATGATCACCACTGGTTATAGTTAGATTTATTCTTTTAAAAAATAAGCCCTTATTATGTAAAATTGGCCCAGGAACAATTTCACTTAATGGGCAGCTGCGATTTCATTAGTAAAATTATGAGTAATTCCGGCCTAATTTTTTGATCATCACCAGCAGTGATTTAAATTGGGTTCGCGCAGTAGGTGTAGCATACATAGACGTATAATATCGCTCTCCGTATATATAACGCGCGTATAAATTTTTTTTTTGTGCACATTTTTTTGCATTTGTGCCAATAAAAATTTTTTGAATTATAACATTGATCACCAGATTTAGTGATTTAAGCCGTAAGGTTTTAGTCGGCTGGCTAAATACCATACTTCCGGAAATTTTCGGTAAATTTAGCTTGTATTTTATGTTCATTTATTTCCTTTTCGGAATTTACCGGAATCCTACTATATACTAAATCATATCATCTTTAGCCGCATTAGCCAGCCGTATTACATTGGCTGGCTTAGCCGGCTAAGCCAGCTTAGCCGCGGCTGCCATAGCCGGCTTAAATCACTAACCAGATTTCAAGATCAGGTGTAATATAACACGATCAAAACAAATGTTTGTTTTGAGGAAATTAGTTGGAGAGTAACACTCCTGATGGTTTAAAATCGCAACACAAAAGTTGGCAACACAATCCATGGAGTTCAAGGAAACAACGTTCGACAATAATACCGAATACTTACTTGTTCTTGTGCTTTTCTTTCCTGCCTCTTATCGTCAAACCCGCTCAAAAAACACATTCGCGTTATCGTAGAACAACTCGTTGCTGGTAAATGAGTCACAATAAAATAGTCAACGTGAGTGAACGTGTCTTGGCTTAACTCTTTTATTCTTCCGATAGCCACTCTCCAATCTACTTCTGTTGAGAATCTCACATATGGCTTTGGACAAACGGTATGTATTTTATTGTAAAAGTATTGTGATTTCGAAAGTATATTCATAAGAATTGTTCTAGAATGTGTCAGGTGGACCCGTCGGTGTAAATACATCAATCCTTTCAGAAATAGTGCAAGTTGTAAAAGAAAACTCAGTAACTATGAAGCTAACTCTGAAATTATGAAAAAGAAGTTTGGGTGTACTGATTCGAATTGAAAATCGCGAGCCTAAGTTGCCAAGTAAGGCTGCCGAGATGCAAAGCCTCTCACCTTCTTTCATTAATCCTATATTCTGCACACTCTACACAGGTTGAATCAATGAATAACGGGTACATATCGGGAGACAAATCTCCTGATATGTACCCATTATTCTACCATAGATCCGCCAAATAACTGTAGTATATCGGTAGCATATTGGTAGTATATAGGTTAGATATATCGATAATGGCAACATAACAGTAACATATTGGGACATCCCGGTATCTTACTCTTAGTCCAAATAGTAAGATACCGGGATGTCCCAGTATATTACTATTATCGATCTACCTCCCGATATCTAACCTATATGCTACCAATATGCTACCGATATGCTACAGTTATTTGGCGGATCTATGTTAGAATAATGGGGAGATTTGTCTCCCGATATGTACCCGTCATTCATTGATTCAACCTGTGCTAGGCTCCGTAACGCACGCTAAAGTTTACATTGTTTTTGAACAGGTTCAATATAATTACTTCCTCGTTGAGACTAATTCCTACCTTGGATCTCTCCCCAATCCCGTAGCTACATATATACAAAACAACCCAACGACTCAAGCAATGACAGAGAAACAAGTTCAAGAATGGTTTAAAGAAGTGATGACTCACTTGAGCTCAAATTGTTATAATAAAATGGTTTTTAAGGAAACAAATGACACTTCATATCTCGATGGATACAAACCGGATATCAGTATTTTAATACTGATGACATATCAAATGATGTTTTTAATACCATAGTTGTCCAAACGATCCTGGAGTTAAAGAAGCACAGGAGAAATATTGGAGGAAAAGGGACAATTGGTAGACTATCTTCATATTCTTATTGAACAAAACTATTACACAGATTCTTTGCAATATTTTTATCAGATGGAACGTACTTATATGTCATAGCTAGGGATAGGAAAAATGCGCATTTTATAATAACATGCACATGAATGCGCATTAATGCGCACGTTACATAAAATGCGCATGATATCGCATGATATAATTTTTTTGATTTTATATTTTCCCTCCGGAAAATATAGGATATTTGGCAAAAATTTTTCCCCGACCCTTCTCATAATTATGTTCATCTATTTTCTTTTCGGAATTTTTCAAACCTTCTGTATTCCTATTTCTTAATTTTGCCTGGAATTATACACCTTGGCCTAAATTAAATATACTTTAATTTTTCTATATAAAATTTAGTTGGGATAAAATGCGCATGATTCCGAATCATGCGCATTAATGCGCACAATTGAGGAATCATTCGCACGCATGAAACCCATCTCTAGTCATAGCCTTGATAGGAACACTAGTCAGTATCAAGAATATCATACAGATTTCATAACAGAATTACATCTTTTCATACATTGATTTATCGAAATTCAGACTATATGGACCTACAAGCGTTGACTTAGTTATTCCAGTCACTTCAACTCGCACAAAAACTATTAAAATACGCCTAGAGGGATTTCTAGACAAGGGCACATCCGCAAAAGTATATAAAATCAACTGGAATGGTAGTCCAGCTGCTATAAAAATACCTTCTGATGTTAATAATTTGAAGCATGAAGCAGAAATGTTGAGAGGATTGAAAAAGCGTAATTTTACGAATGTTCAATGCTTATTGTAAGTGACGATAATCATTGGGTTATTCAGCCAGTTTGCAAACAATTTAGCAATAATTTTATTAACAATTTTCAGGCTCAACATTGCAAAGAGCTTCTAAAACTTTTGAAGCATATTCATTCATATGGTCTTTATCACCGAGATGTTCTTCCTTCAAACATCATGCTAGATACTGAAAATAATTCACTGTGCTTGTTGATTGGGGTTGGTAATCTATAATCCTAATATAATGAGAGTTGTATAATTGATAAAGATCTTGGAAGGATTGTTCTATATTTCCAGAAATCCACACCAATAACAATGGAATGCTGTACAAAGGAACCACAACATATGCTTCACCGTCTATCTTAGACAATGATATAGAAAGTTATATTCCAAAACCGGCAGATGATTTACATTCTTTTGTACGCATAATGTATGTTTTGTGAAATCCACTGAAGAAGCCCGATCTAGCATTATCAAGTGCACAGGCTATCAAAGATTACTGGCATAATGAACTGAATGGTCATGCACTATGGAAAGAGATGTTAGATGCAGTAGATGACAACCGGATTGATATATTAAAAAATATGACATTTTTGAAACTTAATTTTCTTTTCACAATATTGTATTTCTCATTGTAATTGCATGATATTATTTTTTCATCATCTATCTGAGCTTGCTGTGCAGCTTCCTTATTACCATTAGAAAATATGTATTTTTAACTGAATTTTTTTAGTATAATAAAGCTTTCGAGTAAAGTTTACCGCTTTTGTTTTTAATGCCGATATCATATGCATAATAGTGCTTACTTTATTGAGGGAGATACTAACGCAGTTTGAATAAATCTATGCCTTAGAATAAGGGGCTGTGCGATGTACGAATCGCATATATACTTCGTTCTAAAAGACAATTTTAGATGCTTGTATAAAAAGTATTATGAAATACGAGTTTGACTTACTTAGAGAAGAATATGCCAGGCTTATGGCCCCGCGCTCGTGTCCAGAAAAAATTACAGTTCAGAAAATATACTCCGTGGCCAAGGCCTCTTTTTTGGTTGAATTTTACAGATAAGGAACTGTTTATCTTTTTTTTTTTTTTGAATATTTATGAGAAAAAAATTCGGGAATGCTGAGCTTAGAGGAAGAGTCGCGAAATTGGAAGAGAAGCAGTTACAGAACGTAATAATAAAAAACTTTTTATATGCGTCACAAGTATCACGAAAAACATGATCATATTAATAAAATAATATTCGGGTATGGATATTTTTTCCGGAAATCATTATTTCGCGGATGTGTATGCGGGTCTCGAAAGAGACTATCTGTTAATCCTTAGTCATTTTTATTGATTTGCAAGGAGGTTCAAACTGAGAATATCATCTGCGATCAGAGGAAGAAAAATAATCACGGGTTATAAACGAGTTTAAAGTATTATATTAACACCTGCTTGATTATAATAAAAGAACTTCTGAGAAGTTTATGCGAGACATAGAAAATAGAGAGCGGGTTAATGCAAATAAAAAATTACAATGTGAAGTTGAGGATCTGAAGATGCAGAGGCAGGAAATTTTGGCATCTATGAAATCGGATTCTACTCATTAGCTGGAGTACTTTTTTCCGAAACTTGGTCCCAACCAACCCGTATTCTATGTGGATGCTAGCGAGGTACAGTTAAATCAATAACAATAAATTTATGCTCACATAAATTATTAATAATCTTAATCACACTACGCCAGTTATTAGCTTATTGACGCACAATTCTGACTAGTTCATTTGTAGTGCATGACCCGTTAAATAAACATGTGAGAGATTTTTTAATTTAATAAAAATCTATATTTAAACTTTTATTATTAAAATCAAAATAATATATACTGTATAACTAAGTAATAATACAATTCAATAATTCATTTTTATAATATTAATGAAATAATTTAAAAGATAAATATTTAATTAACCAATTTTGATTATTATATTATATTTATTTTTATCTTTAAAAATGATATAAAAAATCTTAAAAAAGTTTATAAATAAGTTTTATAGATTTTTATTTGTTTAATTTAAATTCATCTTCACCAGACAAGTTACGTTACTTTTATTGTAAGACCAAGCTAAACTGATAAGTTTTGTATGATGCAAATTGAAACCTCCGTAATTTGTTATAAAAAAACTAGGACAATAGTATGAAAATATGGAAATTATAAAATATAAAAATCGGGTTCACCTTTCAAAATTTATTGAAAAGCCTTATTTTTTTAGATAGAATTTATCTTTAGCAATATACAAAACATAAGATATTTCAAGTATATTGCCACATAGCTGATAATTTATACAACAGCGCTGCTCACTTCATAGAGAATCACTTCACAAACATCTTACTTCAAGACATTAATTAATTTATGGACGCTTATTTTAAAGAAAACTATTTCACAGACGGTTTATTTACAAACAGATTCATCTTATCGATAATTCATTTCACCGATAAAATAATTCCACTAAGATTAGGTTAAATTTAGGTTAAGGTTAAGGCAAGTTATAGTCTATGTGGAATGAACTTTCAGTGAAATGAGCTGTCGGTGAAATAAACTGTTCATAAAGCTGTGAATTGATTGTTTATTATCCGTGAATTAATTGGTTGTAAACTAAAGGTATCTATAAAATGACTGTTGGTGAAAGGATATGGATCCTTACTAATATAGTAGCAGTTAAATATGTGATTAATTAATTATTAACAACAATTACATTCATAAATAATTTTAATCTACTGTAACAGATATCTGTTGTGTAAAATACAAAGAGTAATGAAATATTCCAAATAAATTTATTAAGGCCATGGAATTCTGTTTAATGATAAAGCATAAGTTTGTTCATGTGTGAGACAGTTATGAATACCGCCTCAATATAAACTACCACCCAAGTTGAACAAGCATGCAACTAATGCTACACGCGAAAGAAGAGGTATTTCATCATGAGCTGATGCTTGTAATACCGACAATGGTTGCATTTATCGATTCTTTGAAAGCAACTTTTTTTAGAAATAAATAAAGGGTAATCGACATTAAGCATGTATACGATCATAACGTGCATATGTAATTAATAAAGTTATTTATTTGTACTGTTACACGTAACAAAATTAAGATAATTTTTCTTATGAGAATCCGAAGGAGAATCGCTTCATTTCCTTTCTTTTTCCAAAATCTTTTGTTACTTCTCTCCTTTTTTTTTTTTTAATACATCTATTTAATTTGTGAGACGTAAAAAAGTTCAGACAGGAAATTTAAATTACAGATTACTGTAGCTACATTCATTAAAAAGTATGACGATATGCAAATGTATCTGATTGAAAGCATTTGCCACAAAGAATTTTTTTAAAAAAAAGAATTCTAGATGTTATTGGAAATTTAATATAAAGCCAGGATGTTCTTCATAGCAGAAAGCGTGTAAACTGCTACAAAGTAATTAACACCTAAACGAAATAAAATTATTTACCAGAGAACTTGACAATTTCTTATAAATCAATCTAAAGCTATCATGAATAATATCTTAATAATTATTCTTGCTTTTGTAATCTCTTCTGTTTCTGCCACCGATAGATGGCTTGTTGGAATCCCTCCTGATCAGATTGTTAATCAATCATCCTTTGCGGAAAGAGCTGTTATATTCTATTGCCCGACCGGATATTCTGAGTGTTCAAATTCTTATGCATGTTGTCCCACTGGAACGACTTGTTTATCTGATAATAAATGTGATGTCCTTTGTTCTCTCGCTGATATAAATTGCGGTAGCGGTTGTTGTGAGATAGGCCAAACTTGTGGCGATGATAACTTGTGTCACAAATCCACAATATACAGTGGTAGTTCTAGCTCCAGTACCTATAGCAGCTCTAATAGCAGTAAAAAAAACAATACTAGTAATGGGGAGATTAATGGAAAAGATAATGATAACAGTACAAAAAGCAATGGCAACAGTACAACGATCAAAAGTAATAGTCCAACAACCAATGGCAACAATACAAACATCACTAACAGCAGTACAAATACCAATAACAGCCCTGATATTGGAGGAAACCAAAACCACAATAGTATTAACAATGATAATAATAGTAAAAACAACAGTAATAGTAAAGATAACAATACCGGTAATGTTAATGGAAAAAATTTTGTTAAAAGTGGAGGATGCAAATCAACACTAAGACTGATCTTAACAGTAATCCCTATTGCATTAGCTTACGTTAATTTACAGTAATATAATATTTTTTTAACTTACAGTATATGAATTTAATATAATATTTTTCTTTATACAAATTACTATCGCTATTGTTAAGATGCTTTAACTTAGTTGCCTTTTCACTTAACATGAATAACAGTGTTAGCGAATTAAAGAAAGTTACAAAGTTAAACTGATCAAAAATAAATTATGTGAAATAACAATGCAATAACCTTATCGATTAAATTTTATAGTTTGGCTAAACTACTATTGAATTTTTATCCGTTTAGCAGTTTAGTCAATTTTTGTAAAGAAAAATTTCTTGCTGACTATCTGTGAAAATTTTGATATAAATTATTAATTAATCTTTCGTCGAGACCATTAACGTTAATGACGCTAATTGTTAATATAAATTTGCGTAAGCCGCATAGTTTTAGACAAACCCTTTAATTATCGTACAGCGCTGCATACATTGCCCTGGATAAAATTGTAGATTCTCCCATTTTTA